GTGACTTGGGAAGACAAACACCATCACTCTGAACATCCCCTCCTTCCTTCTTCTTCCCCCAGCTTTCTATGCTGAGCATAACGTCATATGGTATGGAACATCCCTTTGGTCAGTTGGGGTCAGCTGTCCCAGCTGTGTCCCCTCCCAACGTCTTGTGCACCCCCAGCCTCCTCGCTGGTGGGGTGGGGTGAGGAGCAGAAAAGGCCTTGACTCTGTGTCAGCACTGTTCAGCAGTCACGAAACATCCCTGTGTTATCAACACTGTTTCCAGCACAAATCCAAACCATAGCCCCAGACTAGCTACTGAGAAGAAAATTAACTCTATCCCAGCCAAAACTGTTACAAGGGCTTAAGAATGGGACAGACTTCCTACTGTTTTGAACCTCAGGGCACATCTTTTACATTTTCAACACTTACTTTCCCAGCAACGTGTTCTGATGCAAGAAGGGCCCTTCAATTCTCTACCTTTCAGAAAGCAAATTCCTCCAGCCATGCCGCAGATCACAAGACTTTCACCAAATGAATAATGCTGCTTGTTTTCCAAACAAACAAGAAATCAGGTGAGAACTTAAGTCTTTTCAAGATGCCTCTGCCCAACAAAGTTTTCATGGCCATGACATGTTCAACATTTAGAGTTCAAATCAAGCAAGCCGTGCAGACGACAAGAGTCAAATAAACGCAGAATTAATCCAGAGTGTATTTTCATATCATTAAGAAACACTACCAGTGCGAGACATACAACTACAGAGTTACTAACAGCAGTTACAGACGATAGCTTTCTGCGGACAACAAGAGCTTGTAAAGGATTAAACAAGACAACCTTGTACCCAGGTGTCAAAATCCTAAAACAAGATACAGACTCAGTATTTTGGAGAGACTTTGACCCCATGTCTCTCAAGCTTTATTCATTCCCATATACCCGCATAAAACTAAAAGATTACTGTAATTATTTTGCATTTATATAGCACAGACAGTGAAAAATAACCTATCCCAACTGATATTAAGATTTAAAATACAGAAACTTAATCCCCAATATTCTGTTAGCAACTTCAATTCAAAACAAATCTTATTTATAATTCTAACAAAGTAAAAAGGGATGATGGAAAGTGTTAATATTAATGACATCTGTATAAGGACTAACAGATCATTCAGGTCAAGGGGCAAGTTATCCACCCTGACTCACTAAAGCAAATTTAGAGCTTCTTCAAAAAGCAGCATTTGAATTTTAGTTCTAAGCAGTAAAATAATCCTGAGTAAACTATCCTGACAGCTACTGATTTGTAATTGTTACCATATATACCCAACAGAAACCTTGTTCTGCTGATTACTTCCTTCAAACTTCCAGAATATCACATAGGCTTAACACCCTACTGCACAAGTTCGAAACAGTAAAAATGTGTGCTACCACTGCATTTCAGAAGTCATTAAAATACAAAAACTCCAGGGTTACAATCATGAAAGTTTTATTCATCAAAGTTTTATTTGCCACATGATTAAAGTGAGCCAATACGATCAAGCTACTCAGCCCAGCACCACACTGCTCAAGTACTTTATGACCACTGCTAGCTCAGAAAGAGGTGGTTGGATTGTAACAAATACCAGGCAACTGGCCTCTGAAGTGACTTGTTGCTCTTGGCAGTGTTTTTAGTATTAGTATCTTCACTTAGCCGCTATGCTAGCTATTCACAGAGGCACTAATATTAAAAAAACTGCTAAGAGAAAAAAGACACTTGAGAAGTCAGTTACCCAGCATTTGTAGCAAGCTGATTGTGTACCAGGCTTGTTATCAAGCAGTTGGAAACAAGTCATTTAAAACGCTATCATGTTATTATGGCACAGCATGTCTACCTTCTAAGGTAGTCATTTGCTCCTGACTGGTATTGCTGGCTTTGTGTTCATGTGGATATACTGATCAAACGAGACATTTGAGACTTTGGCATACTTGTATATAGTGGCACATTTTCATATAGGTAGGACATACTTAATCTGAAGTGCCCCAACTATATTAGGGGAAGCAGATGTCCAACAACAAACATATAATACAAGAAGGAGATGCATTTTAGCCAGATTGGTTAGGTTTTCCTTCATTTAGTGTTAAAAGACAGTTTAGCTGTTTGGAGAAATATGCACACAGTGATTTCCACGCTGCAATACTGTAAGCTTGGTAAGCATTGGTTTAAAAAAGGAATAAAACTTAACATTAATTAACGAGCTTTAATGTTAATATGTAGATGCCCACATAAGTAATATGTATAACCACAATGGCTTCTAATAAAACTTAGTTAGGTACAAAAGAGCAGCTTGTAAGTTATTTACTTACTGTTCTCTATGGTTGGATCATACGAATCAACAAACTGTCCTTCCACAAACTGAATCGTCAGTGAAGATTTTCCTGTAAAGCAAGGAAAAGATAATTTGTATTGAAACAAGTCTTCAGGCTGTTATCCCTTTACACTTACTAGTAGATACACTAATGTTTTTCTAAGAGCCGATGTGAGCTTTGTATGGTTCATTTAATCATCTATATGTGACAACGGACCTATTTTTAAATTAAGTGCCTATTCCTAGTAACTGGGTCTCCTGAACATATAAAAAATAGTGCAAGAGCTACTCGGCACGTGTTCTGCTTTTCTTTTAACATCGCATAATTTAAGCGCCTCCTCCAGTTTAAAACAAATCTAAATGTAACAGTGTCCAATCTTCATAAAACTAAACTTAACAAACTATTATACTTGGAAGGTTTTTCTGTTGAGAAGCAAGGAAAACTGGAAATAATTTTCAGTCATTGCACAGAAAAGTCGGAACTTGCATAGAATTAGCCAAATTTGGTTTGACTAGGAGATTGGACATCTTTCCCATGATGATCTTTCCCAAGGATGATCTCAAAATTCTTGAGATCAATATACTCTCCTCTTCTATTAATCCTCTTAACGCCACACTACAACAGACTGATGGATGCTGTATTTTAAGCATAGTGCTGAGGGGGCATCACTGGATTTTTTTCTTTTGAAAGCAATTTAACTGCTACTTTTGCAGACAACATTCCCAATTTCAGTTATGCTGATCTGATCATACACCCCCCAATAAAGAGTAACGCAAAATGCTGCACTTTGTAGCAGATTGAAAAATGAAAACTGATTTAGTCTTGGAAGATTTTACAAAATGGTAAAAGTGAATCATGTACATTGACCATAAAAAGCACCTTTAAAGCTCTACAACTGAAGACTTTTCAAAGCACTACTCAAGTCTTAACGCAATTTCCATTATATAGCACATCTTCTACATTTGGGAATCTACTAGATCTTATTACGTTATGTTTACTGGACAAATACACTCTTAAAAAGATTGCCAAGTGCATTAGCTGCTTTTGGACATGAGCATATTCTTCATGCTCCTTTATACTGTTCTCATTGGCAAGAAGCACAAACAAAATACGACCTCAAGTTAACATTTAGGCTCAAGGCCATCCCACTCAGTGGAAGCCTTTCAATGACATCATAACCAACCAATGTTGTGGATGAACTAGTTTATAGTAAAACTGTTTTCAAGAATTAGTTGCTTTGGATAAAGATTACCCACTTGCAGTGCTTAGACCATGCCACGTTTATACTCTGATGTAGAAAGAGGTCTTTCCTAAGCATTCCTTCAGGAGATATTAAAAAACAGTTTTCTACTTCCAACCCCTCCATTCTTGCTTCACCATACAAGGCTCTTGACCTGTTTACATTTGACTTTTTATTATTATCCGCATACTTAGCAAGTCATTTTGTTAAAGATATTCTAAAAAATTGCAAGTGAGACAAAGTACAAGGATGAAAGTGATGCAAGGGAAGTTTGGCTTAATATTTATAATTGCATGTGCAGTCAATTCCTTCATTAACTGCAACACTTCCAGAAGGAAGACAATGTTACACAAGCATCATCATTTGGGGATTTTCCAACAGCCATAACCTTCATCAACTCGCTGCTTGGTTTATTTTAACATCACTGCCTAGCTCTGCCACACTTAGCCCTTTGCTGTCTCCTATCAATCATGCCAGTTTCTTCAAGATACAATGCTAAAGAACCCAGACAAACCCCCAAAAGATCAACCAGCACACCACCTTTTAAGAGTTGCTTTTTCTCAAATCAAGTTCTTAGATGCCATTTTCTGATACATCCAACAGCGCAACTAAAGGTGTCATACTCACTGTCCATGAGTATACAGAGAACATTGCACTTCAAACTGTTGCTCCAGCAAGGAGAGGGGGTAAAAAAACCACTATGCACACCTGAAATCATCCTAGTAAGGACAGACTTAGAACTGAGACTAGGCATCCCAGCAACTTTCTGAAACTGTGTATTTTGGACACCACTTAAGAGAGTGAATGAACTTTCAAGCTATTTCTTCTTCAGCTATAAGCTTATGAAGTTGCTACCCAGAGTTCATGCTTCCAGATTCTTTGCCAATACCAGCACATTAAGCACTCCATTTTAAAACAAAGTTAACTATTTCTGTATTAGGCTATTATATACCTTCAAGATAAGAAGAGCTAAGTTCAGCACAGATCATCACTGAACATTCTTCCTCCTAAGAAAGATCCTAAACTAACTGAAAGACTTGACTGCTACCGTCTGTTTGTGCTAAGTCTGAAAACTGAATACTAGAAAGAAGTCGGAGCCAAAAGAAAATGCTGCATCTAACATCCAGCTGTATTAATTATGGCTTTCCTCCTAACAGTGAAAGAGGAGGAAAGAAAAACAGACAAAACCAGTGTTCCAACACACTCCTCCTAAATTCCTCCAAGCTTTGTAACAAGCCTTCCAGTAATGATGTGTTCGTGATCACAGGACGATGCCTGCCTTCCTAGATGAGCCACACGGAAGCTCTCTAGTCTTGGATTCAGCCACGTACACCCTCGGGATAAGGGCATGCAACAGTATCCCACTAAACTAAGGCTTCCGAAGGGGACACAGGAAATTTAAAACCTAAGTCATTAACACCCCACCGCCTTGCCTCAGCCCATGCCCAAAAAGCACGCAGGACCATGTAAACAACAGCCTGGCTTGAACTTTGTCCCACAGGTTTTATTCCAGGCCTTTGACCTATGCTCATGGACAGAGAGGAAAATTAAGTTGACAATTTAGCTCCTATCACCTCTTTCCCCAGAAAGATCAGGCAACATTTTCAGAGAGAATTACAACATAAACATAACGTCCATGAGGCAGGGGCCAAAGAACTGCACGCAACTACGTTTGCTGATGTGCTAACTCCATCTCAGAGCACTGCAGGGAGGAGGACGCAGGGAGACACTGCAGTCTAGATGTGCATATGCCGCTAGCACACTTCAGCCTAAAAGGACGAGAGTGCCTGACACCAGTAGCAAAGATTTGATTAATTGATTACTCAAGGGTGCACACCTCAAAAAGCTCAGCTCTAGTATGCCCTCATTTGCAACAAACGCCAAATGTTTTTTAGTTTGCTAAGCTTTTCCTTGTAGCATCCTCCACACTGGTACTTTTAGTGTATCCACTGTCCTCAAGTTTTAGGAAAATAAACATCTGTTGAGACCAAAAGGAGAAGTGTCACGAGCAGAAGCAAGGCAAAGTCTGCTGGAAGCGGTTCACTAAATTGATGGAGGCCTGTGATTTTAAGATGAAAAAACACCTGCAAAATCTTACTGGAGAAGATTATGGTTTAACCTTTTGACTCTGTTCAGAATCAGAGAGCTCAAAATGACTAGGAAGAAATAAATGAATCAAATAAGGGCAACGCTGGGGGAGGGCAACAGGATGATTCCTCCAGCTGCACTTGCTACGGTAACTCAAAGCACCAGATACTCTACAGCAGGGGAGTTGTAAGCAAAATCCTCCAAGTTTACTGACTCTCCCTCTCCCTGGAGGAATAGCACAGAAGGTAAGGGTTGGGAGGAATGGGTTTTACAAGTGTTTGGAATACAAGTCCCACGTGGCCAAAAGCTCAACTCAAGCTGTCCAGAAGAACCCAAAGGGTATTTGCATACACAATTCGTTATTTATGACATTATGCGGGAGTGGTAAAGAAAAGAGTTTTCCACTGTCAAAACAGAAGAGGAACAGGTTTTCAGACAGAAAGCCATTTCAAAAAATAAAGCTGTCATATTTCTGTTCATACGATAGACCACTTGCTACACAAAGCGGAATGTCCCATAAACACTCTGACTAGTGCAGTCATAGCACATCAGTTACAAGTGCTATTGCAATTGTCAAGGCAAAACAATTGCCAAATTGAATTTTTACTCATCCTTTTACTTCTTGGACAAGAGCTGTGGTATTTAATCTAGCCTTAAAATTCAAGCTTTACAACACTAGGCAGTTTACCAAGAAGATGAGTAACTGAGCATGGGTGGGCTCATGAACAGCTGGCCTCGCCGCAGAGGCCATGCCCTCTCTTCAGTGTACCACCATCCCTGTCCCACATCCTTATTCTCCTTGCAATAGGCAGAGGGAAAGCCTAGATGAAATTCTCATTTGCAGCCAACTTCCCCTCAAACCCAGGAGATAGAAATGATGCAACTTGCCAGCGAGCAAGTCAAACAACAACTCCACAAGCAAGGTATTGTGCAAGCTTGATTCTGCAGCTGCCCTCTAACGTGGCATCTCCACGATGACAGCCACTGGCAGCACAGTGCAGTTTATCTCAACAGGAAGAATTTCTCAATACTCGAAATCAACTGCACAAGCAATCAGCAAACAGTTTGACAGGGTCAAGAACAACAACTACCGAAGAGTTGCAATTTTCCGTTCTGCTAGAATTTTAGATGCACAGTTTCTTTAACCCATCTTTTTGCATTAAACATCTGCTTATGTACTTTGCTTAATTATTAAACACCTAACAGCTGGCAGCATCTAATCCACTCATACCACAAGCCTAGCATCTTACCTAAGTTAGTCTCTACGTCGATCTACTCAGTCTTACCTACAGAACAAACCAGTTTAGGTTTTGACACAAAAGGGTTTCATATTGAAAGTTATGCTCGATTTAACCTGAACGTTGGGATCTTTATCTTCTTTAATTCAGAATGCCAAGATGCACAAAATGGAGAGACCAGCATTTCCACAGTGCAGCTTATCTATTCGCCCTCAGAGCACAGAAAGGGACAAAACAACTTCTTGGAGCAGATGGAGGTTTAACTGGGTAGCAAGGGGAATTACAGCACCACTCTGACAAAAATCTTTTCACAAGATAGCAGATGATCTCAGAACCCATCACTAGCTCATCATTCATCACAGGCTTCATCATGAGTAACTTTCTATGGTTAATTAAGATTCCCCCCCTCCCCCTCTGGACTAATTATGGCTATGTAGTTGCTATTTTGCTGTCCACTGCTATGTAGTTTGGTGAATCATTCTAACGACTATAAAAATGATACA